TTCTGCCCTACAAGGTCTCTATGGGTCTAAATCATCTCATCTGGCAGTGAGTTTTTGGAGATAATCTATTCAGGCACCCTGATGGCACAAGCCAAAGATTGGGGTGCTAAGTGAAAGGGGGCAGTTCAAACCCTGCCGTGGCTCCAAGGGAGGATGATGTGGCCATCTGCTTCTGCCGAGATTAACTGTCTCAGAAACCTATTACAGTAATCGGACTCTGTCTTAGAGAATGCCCATAGTCCGTATATATTTCGTATTATTTCAATAAATGTGGGAAACTAACACGGAGGGAAAGATGACCAAGACTCTATTCCCTAACATATAACAGAAGGAATCAGGAAAGCTGGTATTCCATGGTAGGAAAGCCTCCACTTTGGTAAGTTAGAGGTAAAGCCCAGGCACATGATTCTGCTTTAAACATCACTTCCACAGATTCTCCCCTAAGAGCTACGCTGCCTTAAAGTGAGCACATGGTGGATTCTGTCTCCCTGTGGAGGCAGACATTCCCTGATTATCTCCACCCACTGTGGTGCCCATCCCCCCCATGCCTTCCCCTACCTTGTGACATATGTAACTCCTGAATATGCATGATTAATAGCAACCTATAAAGGGCCCCAAAACAGTAAAGGCTCTCTGTCTCTTCTCCCACCTCCACATGGACCACCAAGAGGGGCTGCGGTGAGGATGCTGCCCTGAAATGTGTCTGCCTCCTTTATTTTACTTTCTCTATTTCTCTTCTTCTCTACTACTATTATAATCTTTATGTATTATTGCTGTATAATTGCACCTACGAACCCCGTGATATGGTTAGAGGCTGGTTTATTCTAATAAATAAACCCCTTTGCCGGGGGCTCTTACAGCGCTTGTCACAATCCATCCAGCCTTCGTGTCAAGCACATCTGCCCAGGTGTTGCCACCATCCCTTTCAACACCTTGTCTTTCTACTGGGGCCCCTCGTCCATCCATACTGCCAGGGTGACCTCACTGCTGTTGTTTGCATCTGCAGTCTGCCCCCGGTATGTGACGGCCTCATGGAGATATCTGACGTGTTGCCAGCGCGGATCTCCAAAACACGAAGGGAGCACTCGCGGTTGGAACAAGGGTGCCTGCGGACTGGCCCGTTGACTGCAGGGTGGCCATAGCCCTACCCTTTGTTCAGAATAAAAAGGCCCGCGGGGTCTGCCAAGTGCAATGAAATGAGATCTAGCCCTCCTCCAGCTTCAACGCCTGTCTTCTAAGGTGCCCTCGCTCTTGCCTGCAGCCGCCCCCGGGTCCCCTGACGTGTGACATCCAGGACCTGGGTAAGTACCATATGCAGCAGGACCTGTGGTGTCTAGGGAATACAGGGGGGAGGGAGGGGCACGGGCATTTCCCTCCACCCCCAAATCCACCACCCTTGGTCGCATCGCCAATGACTGCAGGCATTGAGTTTCCTCGCATTTCCAAACCTTTAATCCCACATCGGACCACAGGGAGGGCAGACCTGCGGGCCTTCTCCTCCAGCATCCCCTACACCCATGCCAAGGAGCTCTGAATCCCAAGCCATCTCTCTCTCCAGAGAACAAATTCAGACCCAACTCTTTCCCCCCTCTTCCCCAAATCCTCTAATCTCTTTGCCCCCACCCTGGTTATTCCATCTGGCCCTCAGCCTTCCATTGGGGACCCGCATTTACAAAGAGCCTTTTCCTTCCCATCCCACCCCCAAGCTACCCAACCAAACTCCACCACTGAGAACATCGTCTTGACACAGGGTATGGGTGGGGTGGGGT